ATTTATTGTACTTTCTGATATAAAATGTGCTTTTATTGGGAGGTGACCTTACCAAAAACATTTTATTCTAAAGGTCATAACCACTATAATGTTCTTTAAATGTTTGTTGAAAACCTGTTTCAGACGTATACATATTTCTGTCTCAATCATCTCAGTACAAGGCTACATACGTCAAATATTTCCTGCTAGAATTTGATGTGATGTGCACAGCTGTCAGGAACAGATACAAACCAATACGATGTCAGAATTGTATATATTTATACTTCTCATCCAACCACAGTTAAATTCACTCCATCCAGGAGGCACCATACATCTGGATGTTTTTTTTACAATAACAAGCCAGATTGAAGTAGGAGTTACAACATTTTACATTTTCTCAAAAGGTAAGAGGTAGAGAGTAGAAAGTACAGATAATTGTGTGAAAATGTAAGAACAAGTAAAAAGTTGGCTGTAAATAATTACTCTTAAGTGCAGGTAAGCAAAATTGTTATGTAAGTAAAGTAAAAAGATATTTGTACTTTGTTACTGTACAACTCTGTTTTTTATTATATTAGGGAATAGGCAAAACAATGACTCCTCAGTCCCCAAACTGTCTCCAACTCAGTCTTCAAACTGTCTCCAACTCAGTCTCCAAACTGTCTCCAACTTAGTCTCCAAACTGTCTCTAACTCAGTCTCCAAACTGTCTCCAACTTAGAGTATCCAACTCAGAGTCTTCAGATGGTCTCAACTTAGTCTTCAAACTGTCTCTAACTCAGTCTCCAAACTCTCTCCTATTTAGTCTCCAAACTGTCTCCAACTTAGTCTCCAAACTATCTCTAAATTGTGTCCAACTCAGAGTATCTAATCTGTCTCCAACTCACTTTCCCAACTGTCTCCAACTTAGAGTATCCAACTCAGAGTCTTCAGATGGTCTCAACTTAGTCTTCAAACTGTCTCTAACTCAGTCTCCAAACTCTCTCCTATTTAGTCTCCAAACTGTCTCCAACTTAGTCTCCAAACTATCTCCAAATTGTGTCCAACTCAGAGTATCTAATCTGTTTCCAACTCACTTTCCCAACTGTCTCCAACTTAGAGTATCCAACTCAGAGTCTTCAGATGGTCTCAACTTAGTCTTCAAACTCTCTCCCACTCAGTCTTCAAACTGTCTCCAACTCAGTCTCCAAACTGTCTCCAACTTAGTCTCCAAACTATCTCCAAATTGTGTCCAACTCAGAGTATCTAATCTGTTTCCAACTCACTTTCCCAA